TTTCTTATACTGTTGTTTCTTTTAAATTTCTCACTTTTTAGCGGCGTTCCCTATTTCATTTTTAAAAATCTTTCTAGAGAAGATAATATGGATAATTCTTTCTGTCTGCTTTACTTATTTAGATGTGGCTTTTTTTATATTCTTGCACCCTCTGGCGTTCAGGTGATAGCCGATAATTTTCTCTCATATATTTTTCGACACCTGCATGGGATGTACACGAAATCATTAATCAAAATCTTCTTTTGCAAATTGTGAATGTAGTCAGTTATTTTCTGTCTATCGTGTTTATGTTAGTCAATTTGATAATTACCAGAAAAGCGATGACGAATCTTCCACCAAAACACTATATCAATTTTTTTATGCTAATCAATGTTTTCACAATAAAGTTGATAAAAACCAGCCACTGTTGGTAAACCTTTCCGGATATACTTATATGTATAAGTCATTTATTTATTTGATAAATATACCGTGAAAATTTATATTGGGGTTCTATGAGAAATAAGCCATGTAAATTTCGTTTATTAATATCTATTTGTATTAAAATATTTACAATAACTTATTTGATAGTGCCATAATTTTACCATGCAGATTGACGTCTGTTAATCATATACATATATATTTGTTATGTTGGTGCGAATACACATATACATGAAGGAGGGATGCTGGGAAATTTACGATTCTTTTATATATCTAGCCGAATTCACATAGGGTCTATTTCATTCTCTTCCCATCACTTTTGTTAGTAGGTTATCCCACCCAATAGAGGTTCTGGTAAAAGTGGTGAAATGTAAGAGCTGTGGTCAGAAAGGTGTAGAGTGAGTATTCGTGTCAGTCTACATCTTTCTGATCACAGCTCAATTAGATCTCATTTAAATATTCATGGAGACCTACCGGACCCTATCCGTAACATACTTGTTGACACCACAAATATAATAGCATCATATGCATGCAAAAAGGGCTAAAAATAATGGAAGCCTTATTAATAATAATAAAAAACACTCAATAATATCAACATGAACAGAATAACTTGACCGTGTTTTGAAAATGAAAATATAAATATATATAAATACATACATGCAAAAAACTATTTCTTATTTAACAGTAAAAATATTTCAACCTTGAAAATAGATAAATGTATAGCCGAAAGCGCTCGGATAAAAAGAACATTCGGACAGTTTTTATATAATTTATCATCTGAAAAGAAAAAAAATATTAGCTCCCTTGAGAAATTGTATAAAAATAAATCAAAGTACCTTGTCTGTCCTATTCATGAAAGAATGATTGCTGACGAAATACACACACATACACAGACATATATATGTATATATATATATTTATGTATATGTATGTATATTACGAAATAGACAAAGTCCGACAATTATTTAATATATTTTCTGTTCATACGTTGTTTTATTAAATACATTCTATTTAAATGCTCTGTTTTTAAATAAACAGTATTGATTACATTTACCAGCCTGAATGTTCGAGAAATATTGTAGAAAATATCTGCTTACGAATTTGTTGAATATTCAGGCCGGTAAATGTAATTAATGCGGTTTATTTAAAAAAATAGCATTTATTTAAAGAAATTTAAATCTTATTAAATAAATAATTAAACTTAAATTTGTTTAAATAAAATGAATATATATATATATATATATATATATATATATATATATATATATATATATTTTTTTGAATAAAAGACAGACCACGTTAAGATTCCATGTAATAAGCTATTTCCCCTTTAACAGGGTTCTGGATCATCAGACTTTACTTCCAAAAGCTGAAATGAAAATGAAAAAAAGAAATTCACACGTTTTTGACGGACCTCATCAAGTATACGTAAAAATTAACGAAGTGAGGGAGGAGGTGGGAGAGAGGATATGAGTATGTCATATGTATCATTTCAGTTTCCTATTTTTAACCCCAGTGTGTCGGCTAGATATTGTTCAAATTTAACGCGTCTCGTCTCTAGATATAGATGGCTAAGGGGTGAATGATAAGAACGACATTACAGGAAGAAGTTACAACAACCCCAGTCAATTACACGACAGGTTTTGATTGTATGTAATAAAATAAAGTATAAAGAAAAAATATATATTGATATTTAATTTTCAATTTTAGATATGTACTTTTAGACATAAGAAAGATACAACTTGCAACGTGAAACATACAAAGGTCAGGTCAGTGAGTAGCGGGTTCCCGACAATGAAAATTAGTATAAAATTGAAGAGAGAGAGACCCTAGAATGATCAAAAGCAAAATGGAAAACCTTGGCAAGACTAATCGTCTTTAAAATATTAAACAAAGATTTTTGAGAAAAATTAAACGGATAATAAGCCAGAACCCGGGTTTCCAGAAAGAAAATATTTGAAACCGTTCTTGTTAAAACCAAGCAAACTATTGTTTTTTTTTTTTTTTTTAAAGTAAACACCACAAAGAGAAACATGTAAGATGGTCAAAGAAGTAAATGAAAACTTTTTACTCGGTAGTAATTTTAATAATGGATTTGATAGCTAGACTCGATGTTGGATCTATCATGGAAATACTCAACTAAAACCACTGGGAATACAATAGTGTATGTGTAGAGTAATGTTTTGTGATACTATTATAAACAGGAAAATTATAAGAACTTTTGAAATCGATGTGTTTTCCAAGCTAAGAGCCCAAAATTATTGCTGTTAGACACGACAATTTTCGAGTTGATACAAGTCACACACAAGAAGATTCAGACGACGCGCCTTGCCTGCTTATGGGAGGCGTATTCAAATCGGAATGATAGGCAAATCTTTGAAATGCGTTTTCTGAACAATGTCCCCTGACGTTCGTTAAAAGGGATTGTAACTTACCTGACCCCCTCCACGCAAAGTAAAGTTTTCAATGGCACCAAATTAAGAAATAGTACGCAAAACGGAAGAGGCATGGCACGTGAAACTAGAGCAATCTACCTTGGTGGATGAAATAAAAGGTTCGATTCGAAATTCCAATCCCTTGAAGAAGGCCGGAGTGTGCAACAGCCGAAACGTTGTGAATATGACACTGAAGTTGAGGATAACAAGATGAATAATGTAAATAATCATAATACCTCATCTCAGTGATATAGACAGATAATCCTTTGGAATGTGAGAAAGTATTTCAGAAAGGTTTGCTCTCGGCAACTGGTCAGTCGGTGGACTTCACAGTTTGGGCAACAACACTGTCTTGTTGAAAAAAAAAAATCTGACCGTTCATTGTCAGAAAAAAAACGTCTCAGTTGTTGAAAGCAAGACTTTCAGTCCATGCAAAAGTAATGGTTTTCATATATATTATTGGACCCCCATTTTTATTTTTACATATAGTCCGGTGCACCTGCTATATATCTGGAGATTCTTGATGAAATCCAAAGAATAATCAGCAATATTATTCGTCCTGAGCTGGCCCCTCGGCTTCAGTCAGTTTTCATCTGTCGTAAAGTTGCCTCCCTGTGCATTTTTTTTTATAAATACTTTCACGGCATCTAGACATTATGAATGAAAGCGTAGCATAAGAGTCGTGATGAGGTCTCACGAATTTACAGTTGAATTGGCAAGGTGTAACCGCAAGTTCTATGCTATTTTAGTAACCCTCGTTTCAATTTCAAGCATTTTCTTGAATTTCATTGGTTGTTAAATAAAAAATAACCTTTGAAAAATTTCTATGACAAAACAGTCAAAATTTGTGCAAAAGTAGGCTCAATCAACATAAAAAAAAAATCTTTCTCAAATTCATCCCTAATTTAAATGTTTCAAGAAATCCTATTGGCTAAAAAATAAAAAAAATACAAAATTCGCGCACGCATTTCTCAGAAAAATTCACAACAGCTACCAAACCCCGTTGAGCCGATTTGTCGTTAAGAAAACTATAAATAGAAATAGTAAACGAATTTTTGTCGCATTTGAGACTCACACACACGGAAGATACACACGGGAATTATGTGCTGCCAAAGAAAAAAAACTTCCTTTATGAAAGATTAGAAAAATTTACCCAACAAACCTTTTCATTCAATATCTTTCAAGTTAAATTCAACCTTTTTTAATCAAAGCAGAAAAATTTTAGACATTGAACATTTCCGAAACAGCAAAGAACTTTTTCTCTAAAATATACCTTCGCACACATCATTACAAACAAATAAATTGTAAATTGTGTATATAAAATTTTAATCTGTTGTTTCAAACTTGTATTTTTTATCATGATTGAATATCGTTACCATTTGGCTATTTCTTATAATTTATGTTTGTGGATATTGCATATTTTATTTGCAGCACAATTTTAAATATTCACGCAGCCTTCCTAGATCCACTAACACTTTCTTTTCTCACTCTTCTTGTTCGTAGAACTCTCTTCCGGTCCCATTTTTTACAGTTAACTTTAATCTGCAAAAATTTAAATGCAACGCTGATTGGTTTCTACTTTCCTCCTGATTAATCTTCTTTCGTTCTCCCTCCTTAGTAATGTTGTTGTTTTTTAATTCTTCCACACCCAGTAACCCCGCTTTGTCTTAGTGGCTTTACTCACTTGCTTGGAGTGAATTCGATTGAAAAAAATATTTATTGATTTGCGCAGGGTGTTCACGTAGAAATAAACTTCTACATTTTGCTCGGCCGATAAATAAACGGATACGTACACTGACAGGGGCATGAAAGACAGAAAATAAAATAAAAGTAAAAACACCTCCTCGTTGGTATGTATTAATAATCACAGGTAGAAAAAAAAATCTTCGAACGTATAGATAACAACTGTGCGGATTCAAGAGCATTCGTGATTGAATATGACGGAGAAGGAATTCTTTTTATGAAATACGGAAAATTAATTTTTTATAACAGCCGCTCTTCAAGATGTGCGTGTATGTCAGTTCTCTTCAGCAACGCGATTCTCTATCATCCGCTGTCCTTTCTCTGCCGCCATCTTTCTCGGTACTCTATACGCCATCATTTTGTTTTCACGGAAAAACAAACAACTACCTTGTGACGCCCGATCTATTATTCAACAGACAGGACAATTGTGGCTATTAACTTGGTTGTTTGAGATACAATCTCTAGTGGGCCACCTGCCGATCGGATGAGGAAGGCGAGGTAGAGGCTGAAAAATGACGTTAAAGATGAAGGGAATAAAAAAGAAAGACGTCGTAACGAGCGTTGAAGAATTAGAGAATAGGAAGAAAGTAATTGGAGAGAAGAAAAAGATGAGACAGAGAAAGATAACAGATAGCTAAGAAGAATAAGGAGAAAGAGAAAGAGAAAGCAGCGAGAGACTAAGGAGAGGAGAAAGAGAAAGCAGCGAGAGACTAAGGAGAGGAGAAAGAGAAAGCAGCGAGAGACTAAGGAGAGGAGAAAGAGAAAGCAGCGAGAGACTAAGGAGAGGAGAAAGAGAAAGCAGCGAGAGACTAAGGAGAGGAGAAAGAGAAGGCTAAGAAGACTAAGGAGAGGAGAAAGAGAAAGCAGCGAGAGACTAAGGAGAGGAGAAAGAAAATCAGCGAGAGACTAAGGAGAGGAGAAAGAGAAAGCAGCAAGAGACTAAGGAGAGGAGAAAGAGAAAGAAAGAGACAAGGAGAGGAGAAAGAGAAAGCAGCGAGAGACTAAGGAGAGAGGAGAAAAGAGAAGAGACTAAGGGAGAGGAGAAAGAGAAAGCAGCGAGAGACTAAGGAGAGAAAGAGAAAGCAGCAAGAGACTAAGGAGAGGAGAAAGAGAAAAGAAGGAGAGACTAAGGAGAGGAGAAAGAGAAAGCATTAAGAGAGGAGAAAGAGAAGGCTAAAGAGACTAAGGAGAGGAGAAAGAGAAAGCAGAGAGACCAAGGAGAAAGAGAAAGCTAGCGAGAGACTAAGGAGAGGAGAAAGAGAAAGCAGCGAGAGACTAAGGAGAGGAGAAAGAGAAAGCAACGAGAGACTAAGGAGAGGAGAAAGAGAAAGCAGCGAGAGACTAAGGAGAGGAGAAAGAGAAAGCAAGAGAGACTAAGGAGAGGAGAAAGAGAAAGCAGCGAGAGACTAAGGAGAGGAGAAAGAGAAGGCTAAGAAGACTAAGACTAGAGGAGAAAGAAAAGCTAAGAAGACTAAGGAGAGGAAAAGACTAAGAAGACTAAGGAGAGGAGAAAGAGAAGGCTAAGAAGACTAAGGAGAGGAGAAAGAGAAAGCTAAGAAGACTAAGGAGAGGAGAAAGAGAAAGCTAAGAAGACTAAGGAGAGGAGAAAGAGAAAGCTAAGAAGACTAAGGAGAGGAGAAAGAGAAAGCTAAGAAGACTAAGGAGAGGAGAAAGAGAAAGATAGACGTAAAGAGATGACGAAGAAATAAAGAGAGAGAAGTAAAAATAAAAAAAAAAGGTTTAGGCACGGTGGAGTAATAGACATGGGTCCGGAAAGCCGAGTTCGAATTCAGGCCGAATCCATTACATTCACTTATGTGCTAATACCTTTGAGAAAGGTATGAATCCTCTTCTTCTACCCCAACTAAATAGCAGGACATACCAGGTTCTATAGCCTTGGATAGCAACTGGTCTACCACAGAAAGAAATGGCAGCCTACTGAGGGGAAAAAACTAAATCGTCTATCGAAAGATACATGATCGCCTAAGCGTGTATCACGCATGGCACATAACGGAGTTGCAGGAGGAGGTAGATAATAGCGAAAGTACAAGAGAGGGGAAAATTGGCGCCCCCCCCAAATGAAAGAATAGGAGGATACTTTTAGTATAAGAAGAAAAGGATTAAAAAAAATAATGCTATCTTTCTTCAGGGTGTAAGTAATCATGGCTTTCCACATATTCCTTGTCTTATTTTCTGTGAATTGCCATAGCCTCGTGGGAAAGATAATGGAACGGTTTCTCACGGCCTTCTCCATTATTTTGTCTTCAGATTTTGCCATCTAGACTGGTTGTCACCCATGGTTAGAGAGCACAGCCTAGATATTTAATCCATAGTGGGGAAGAGAAAAGCTCGATTCATGTTTTTCCCAACAGACTAGACGAGAACGTGAATTGGAGGAAAAGGGAAGGAAGTAAAAGTTTTAAGGAAGGGGGAGTTAGAAAGGGAGGAGAGAGAGAAAGAGAAAGCCACAAATTGAGAGAGAAAGAAATAGAGAGAGAAAGAGAGTGAGAGAAACAGGGAGAGAAAGAAAGAGTGATAGAAACAGAGAGAGAAAGAAAGAGTGAGAGAAACAGAGAAAGAAAGAGAGAGAAAGAAAGAGTGAGAGAAACAGAGAGAGAAAGAAAGAGTTAGAGAAACAGAGAGAGAAAGAAAGAGTTAGAGAAACAGAGAGAGAAAGAAAGAGTGAGAGAAACAGAGGGAGAAAGAAAGAGTGAGAGAAACAGGGAGAGAAAGAGAGTGAGAGAAACAGGGAGAGAAAGAGAGTGAGAGAAACAGGGAGAGAAAGAAAGAGTGAGAGAAACAGGGAAAGAAAGAAAGAGTGAGAGAAATAGGGAGAGAAAGAGAGTGAAAGAAACAGAGAGAGAGAGAAAGAGTGTGTGTGAGAGAGAAAAACAACATGGCGAAAAGAGAAAAAAATATTATAATCGGAATTTGGAGAAGTAATGGAGAACCAAAACGACAGAGAAAAATAGAACAAAGAGAATAAAAAAAAAAGGAAACTGAAGGAGGAACGTCATAGATAGATAGATAGATATCGATACAATAAGCAGAGATGAATATATAGATATATAGTTAGATATCGACAGAATGAGATAGATATTGACAGAATAAGTTGATATGAATAGACAGATATGTAATTAGATATCGATAGATAGATAAGGAACAGATTTAGCGAGATAGATATGATCGAAATGAAAGAGAAGGGGCAATTGGGTGAAATAATAGATATAATTTAAAAGGATCATGGTGAAAAACGAAAAAAATCATAGCAAAAGAAATGAAAGAAAATAAGACAGTCATTTTGTAGCCTTGAATTCTTTTTTTCTCAACTAAATAAAGAGAAAAAGGAATCTTATTTGTTAGTATTTTGTTTTCTCTCTTCAACATAAGCCCTCTTCAATGGTATGCCTCATTGCTTTCAATTTGTTCTCAGTTGAACTTCATCCGGCACATGGCCAATTCGATAGAACAAAAAAAATCTACACATTTTTTTCTAAGATTATTTTTTCTCAAAATTCTTTCTAATTCACTCGCGACTGCCGCTTTTGATCTATCGTTATTTTTATTTAAAAAAATTATCAAGTTTTCTTCAGTTTGTTTTTTTTTTTCCTCGTTTCGTTCCGATTTTTTTTTAAATTCCTGCTTTTTTAATGACTCTGTTTTTATTCGTCTACTTTTATTATTTCTTCGCTGTCGCCGGTTTCTTTCACTATTCTTTTGTTCTTACACGCATTTATCTCCCCTTTATTTCATTCGTTTATTTTCTAATTCTTGTTCAAATTTTATCCCTTTATTTATTTTTTGGGAACCGTAAGTTCTATTTTTACAGTTCCTTTTCTCGTACCTCTCGCTTGTCTTCCGTCTTTTCGTTTACCTGTAAACCTCTTTTTCTATGTGCCATGTGTCTTCGTGGGAGAGGGTGGTTCTCTTTAATTTACTGCCCTTTCTAGTTCTGGGTAAGGCTTCTATCTTTGCTATCCTCCCCAACAAATTCCTCACCCCGCCATCTATTAATAAAATCTCGTTTGGGAACGTTATTCGCTGCTTTCCTATGTCCCTTTTGCCATCAATATATCCTGTAACCATCAAATTCTCCAAATTTTCTTTCATCATGATGTACCTTAGAAAGCTTGTCCTTGTCAACTACAATCTTCAGACAATTAAATGCAACATCACTCGTCGTCATGTGTGTTTTTAATCATGTTCTTTTATTGTTTTCTCTTCTCAATAATGTTTTCTTATGTTCTTTTACACTCAGTGACCGATTGCGTCTTAGTGGCTTTACCGCCTTGCCTAGGGTGAAATGATTAAAATTAAAAATGCTTTGTAATTTTATTTATTGTCTTGATGGTTTTTAATATTTTTTTTAGTCTAGATTTACTTAACCTTCCCACTTAGCCGGGTTGTGACACCAGGTCGGTTTTTAACGTGGGGACCCTAGTGTTTCCACACAAGCCGCTGGTCTAAGCTGGTCTAAGCTAATCATAGCCGGTCATACCACCGCTATGTAACAGATGTCACACAACGGTGGCGGGAAAAAACGCCAGGGAGGAGAGAAGGCCTACTGCATAGAACAGATTCTACATCTGCAGTTATCCATCTTGGCTAGAAAAAAAAAAAACATTCTTCTCTTCCGCTGCCAATTCACCCCCGAAAGAATCTGGGAGGAAAGCCCCTAAGTTTTTTCTTACCTTTAAGTTATTCATTCATTCAAAAATTCATTCATTATTCTCTATAATTTCTTTATTCGATATTTTGTTTTCTTCTTCCATTGTTTATTCATTTGCCAACGATTGTCTCCTCTCATTCTTCTATCACTCTTTAGAACTATTTTTTTTTTTCCTGTGGAGTAATGGATAGCGGCTCGGATTGAGGAATCGGAGAGCCGAGTTCGAATACCAGTCGAATCCATTTCATTCCCTTACGTGCTAATACCCTTGGGAAGGTTATGAATCCTCTTCTCCACCCAGCTATGGGTAAATAGCAGGACACACAGTGTTCTATAGCTTTGGATGGCAACTGGTCTACCGTAGAAAGAAATGGCAACCTACTACGGGAGAAAAATCTGCCTCATCATTCATGTATCGAAAGATATATGATCGCCTAAGCGTGTATCACGCATGGCACATAACTGGATGATTTTTCCTGCCTTAATTTCTACGATGTGGAGTTACTATTAGCTTGCGAATTAATGTTCTTACTTTAGTTGATATTATCACAAAAGGTTTCGCTCGTTATGCTCATCACCATTTTTCAAGTCTATGTCGATCAGGGTAACCTTTATGGAAGTTCGAACTGAACCCTTTATTTAGTCTACGGCGATTCTTCTCGTTCCGCTCTCCATGACTTGGGAGATCTCATCTGTAAGGAGATCTCATCTTCTAGTTAGATCTCATCTTGTAGGGAGATCTCATCTTGTAGAGAGATCTCATCTTTTAGAGAGATCTCATCTTGTAGAGAGATCTCATCTTGTAGGGAGATCTCATCTTCTAATGAGATCTCATCTTCTAATGAGATCTCATCTTCTAATGAGATCTCATCTTGTAGGCAGATCTCATCTTGCACTTTTTTAGTAAGGCTCATATATTTAATTTTTTAAATAGTTTTTTTATCATTTATTCATAGTTCTTTCAAGATATTTAAAAAAATTCTTTCATAATTTATTCATATTTTTTCAAGATTTAAAAATTATTTTATAATATATTCATAATTCCTTCAAGATTTTTTTATTCTTTCATCATTTATTCAATTTTTCAAGATTTAGAAAAATTCTTTTATTATATTTTCATAATTTTTTTATGATTTAAAATTTTTTTATCACTTATTTGTAATTCTTTCAAGTTTAAAAAAATGATCTTATCATTTATAGTTTTCATTCATTCATTTATCATTTTACTATTTGCCTATTATTCAGAGTCTGTCTATATTTCTGAGATGAGGTATTATGTACATTATTTACATTATTCAGACCATTGTCCTCATCTTTGTCGCCATATATTCACAACGTTTCGGCCGTTGTACGCTCCGGCCTTCTTCAAGTGGTTGGAATGTCGAACTGAACGTCTTTATTTCGCTCACTGGGGTAGACTGTTCCAGTTTCACGTGCCATGTTTGATGGATGTCAGTTATCAGTTATCTCCTGTTAATTTCCCTCTGAAAGTTCTCCACTGCCTTAACCGGGTATTGAACTCACACTCAAGGACACATGGCACAGTGTATAAAGGCGTTAGTTAGATCCAGTGACAGGACCCAAAGAGAGTGAGTTCAATACCCGGTTAAGGCAGTGGAGAACCTTCAGAGGGAAACAGGAAATAACTGATAACTGACATCCATCAAACATGGCACGTGGAACTAGAACAGTCTGCCCCAGTGAGCGAAATAAAGGGTTCAGTTCGACATTCCAACCACCTGAAGAAGGCCGGAGCGTACAACGGCCGAAACATGATAAATATGGCGACAAAGATGAGGACAATAGTCCGAATAATGTAAATAATTGCCTATTATTCTTTCCATCTGATGTTTTATTTTTTACTGTGTTTATTCATTCCCCCGTGTGCATTAATCATTTGTCATTTATTTCTCATTCTTTTAAGATATTTTTTTTATATTTTAATTTTCTTTCCAATTTTGTACAAATTATTCCCTCATAATTAAAGAAAAAAAAATGATACCGTTTTCGTGTTTCATTCATCTTGGTTTTTTCGTTTACGATTCATTTTTTCTTCAATTCTTATTTCTTCATTTGCTATAATTCTTTCCTTTTTTCTTTCATTTTCACTTGCTTTTATTGCATTTACAAATACCGGCATTACTTCCCCAGCAATTCTTTTGCATTTTCTCCTTCCCCATTGTGTTGTTTATTTTTCTTTCTCCTTCACTTTTTTTCCCCTTTCTCCTCGGCTGCGCTCTGTCGAGCGTCACTTTCTTTTCTATCTTCATATTTTGTGTCTCACCTTTTTAGCCACTCAAGGGAAACATTTTCCTGTAACCTAACGGTTTTCTAAAATATTCATTATTTTAACTTGGACAGTGAAAATTGTTTTCTAGATAAGAAAAATTTTTTTAAAGAAGACAATAATAATGGCAAATCGACTTACACTCAACTCGCACGCAATTTCCTGAAGATTTTCTAACTTACATTTTTTTTCTCTTGTTTCACGTTTCTTTCTTACTTGTTTTACTTCTGTATCAACATCTACTTTACTATATTCAGCAATCTGTCTGTTCACTTAGCTTATATATGCGCGAAGCAGTGGTTGGCGTCTCGGAACGTAAAATCAACGAGCTACGTTTAAATTTCGGACAAGTATATTCTGTTTTCTTCCGCAAAAATATCCATAAGAAAAGGAATCCATCTTTTCTTCACTCCCAGCTATGATTTAAAAAGCAAGGGAGGCCGAGAGATCCAAGAGAAGGATAGTTCTGAATACAAAGTCTTATGCAGTTCTAGCGAAGCGCATACGATGAAGCCAGCAGAAAGATTATGGAGTCCACAATGGCATTTTGATACCGACTCTGGTCGACGTGATACGAGAGATCTATCGAGGATAGGGTATCAATATATATATATATATATATATATATATATATATATATATGTAGTATGTCTTGGTTTTTAGCTGAATTTTAATCTAAAATTTAATTGCATCATGTTTGATCTCTGTGATTTACAGACCCACTTATGCTGAAAATATTTGTTATGCAAAATAAATGTTTTTTTCATCATTAGATTACAGACATTGATTTAATATCGTCTCTCTAAAAATCTATTTATCTGTTTAGTTTTAACTCTTTGAGCCCTAACCACCGCTTTACCGGTACTAGAGAAAAATGACTTAATGCCCAGCTACCGGTTGAACGGTGGGCAAACACTTGTAACTTCTTTTTATATCTACCGGGAAACATTACATACTAATTATTTGCCAAATTTGACTCAGGATCTCACGCAGAAGGGTTAAAATTGTTCATGAACGCAGGGCTTAAAGAATTAAGCCTGCCCATAGCATTCAAATGTCGCACATCATAAGGATAATTTATTAAAAGTATAATTACACATAACAATTTCATTTACTAGTTATTTAATTGTTATACATGCTAATCAAAATGTCCTCCACCTTTTTCAAAAGACATTTCAAGATTCATTAACACGTCGGAGAGTTTCGCTTGCCATTTTAATGCATTCATATTTAATTCTTTAAATTCCTCAATGTTTCTTGGGTGCCTATGGTAAACAAATAATTTGAAATGGCTCGATAGAAAAAGTCCAACGATGTGAAGTCTCCGTGGCGACTCAACAGGACAACAAAACAGGATTGATTAATTAAGCCCTATGGTACGCGATTTTGCTTCTCTCTCTCTCTCTCTCTCTCTCTCTCTCTCTCTCTCTCTCTCTATATATATATATATATATATATATATATATATATATATATATATATATATATATATATTTGTGTGTGTGTGTGTGTATAAATAAAAGAAAGAACAGTAAGATATATAATCCGATGTTCTTATAGACATGTTTATTTTTACAAAATAGTGCTCAATGTAAAATTACAGAGCATTAATATTATTAATTAACTGATTTAAAACATGTTTTTTCGCTACACAGTTCTGACCATGTTTAAAAAATGGAAGCTAAAAGCTTCGAATTTATTTTTGTAATTAAAGACATTAGTTCCATTTCATCCTCAAGCGAATTTTGGAGTAAATTATTTTAAAAATTACTGGGTTTTAAAGGCCTAAAATAAAATAAAATAAGTAGTAGTAAGCTTGTTATACCAGAATATTACCTATTCTATTGTAATAGACTCTCCCACACATAATAAGTAGTAGTAGTAGTAGTAGCGGTCGCCAGTTGGGTTCAGTGGAGTTGAGTGAGTCAGTCGATGTCGGACATTAAAGTATCAACGACCACAACTAGATTGCTGCGTCATTAACTATTATTTCAAGTTCCTAACGTTTTGTACGTCGAACCTTTTAGGACCGACTCATTGAAATACAAGCCTCCACTGTGAAAACTACTTTACAACAAAGCTTAAATTCATAAAGTCTAAGTATCAAAGAGGAAAGATAATGTACTCTGATTACGATCGGCGTAACAATCATCTTCATGTAGCTGTAATGCAAGCTTGGGTATTATTAGTAGCAGAAGTATCATTAGAAATATGTCTTAAAGGATGTGGAAGCACTTGCCATTTTTACAAGGTTGTCATTACCGCCCGGACACCGTTCTTAACACGTGACTTTAGAATGGTTGACGTTCGGTGGGAGGCTGTCGCATGGAGGGAATAGCGCCAGCCATCAAGGAAAGACACCTACCTTAATGGCCTTTTTGTTAAACTTTTGTTTCATTATCGATGTGCTGCAACGAAGGCAAATGTGCTTGGGTGGCGGCCAACGTCAATATTTGGGCAAAAGCGACGAGGGATAGGAAGAGTAAAATAAGATGACAGTGCCGAATATTACAATAGGTAAAGAGAGGCTGGGATGGTTGTGGTGATGGGGGGGGCTCAAAATACAAGAGGGGGGCAGAAGGGAGCGGAGGTGTTGAAAATTGAGAAATGGCGGTGAGAAAAGAAGAAAAAAGAAAGTAAATCTCAGCTTCATTATTATGAAATATGCATTTATGCAAATATACGTACATATAAAACAGATGTAGAGGATGTATGTATGTGTGTATATATATATATATATATATGTGTGTGTGTGTGTGTGTATGTGCGTATATGTGCACATATATATATATATATATATATATATATATATATATATATATATATATATATATATGTATATGTGTGTGTATGAGTTTGTGAATGTATGACTATATATATATATATATACGTGCGTGCGTCACGAAATATACGCACAGACGAAAGAACAGAACTCTTTATCTATCTAGTGTTATTAGCTTCTAATACACTATCATAATTTTTTTATAATCTTGATCTCATTTAATTTTTCATGTTTCTATTTCTCTCTCTATATATATAGATAAGTATAATAAAGTAAAGGTAACAAATCCGTTGGTATATAATCGAAGTGGATTCTATTAATATAAAATATTAAAACTGATCCACAAAAAGAGCTCAATGTATTTATTAATACAGAGAAAATAATTAATAAACAATAAAATCCAAAACATATGGGGAATAGCCTATTTCGGCAGATGAAGATATCGATCATCTGCCTTCAGGGTTGATAAGACAGTCGACCAATATCTTCGTTTGCCGAAATAGGCTATTCCCCATTTGAGATGATTTTGGATTTTATTGTTTATATATATATATATATATATTTATTTCATTTTTATTATATATTCATATATCTATTTCTGTTAGGGTAATTAACGTTTGTGGGTTGGGCGTATTTTACGTGGGTATGACGTGTTCATATATAAGCAATGAAGAGATAAAACATACGAAAACGTGGGTTTCTCTCACGGACCGTTTATACTCTTGTTTTTACATAAACTGTAGTGAAACAATATTCTCAATGTCTCTCGGCCATGTCGGCTTCCTTTTTAGTCCAGTAATCAGGGTAAGTAAGGATAAGTCACGTTAGAATAGTTAAACTTAATTCGGCCTTGCGCATATTTGAAACAACCAAAGAAAAAATATTGCTTATTTCATTGTTGGAAGGTTTAATCTTGGTTATCATGGTCAAGCTGAAGTCAGCCTCAGTACATCTATCTTTCAAGAATGGTTAGCTAATCTTTGTTGCAGACAGCAAGAAATCCCACTTATGATAGTGTAATAGAAGCTATTAACCATAGATAGATAGATAGATAGATAGATAGATAGATAAATAGATAAAGAGTTCTATTTTTGCACAGACTTTTGTCTGTGCGCATGTTTACTGACCTGCGCTGACGCACGCATGCATATATATATATATATATATATATATATATATATATATATATATATATATATATATATATGAAAACTCTGCTGAGCGGATTTTATTTACAATTTAATCACCAGTTTAAGCACGCTCAAGCCATCGGTTACGATGACTTGTCTTCTATGTTAGCATGATCAGCGTCGGCTTCCAAAAGATACCTGAACATACAAGGTTTAGGTCAAACCCTCATATTATTTTCAGGCATTTATTAAAAGGTGCCGCAGAATATCAAATCACTACCTTCCTGGCAATATTGCCTATCGTAAAATTCAAACTCTGGGTTTCATTTTCGGAAGGCGAACGTCTTAATCACTCTGTAAGGCACGCATATTTATTAGGAATTTGCAAAATCTTAATATTTGACATATATGAGTGTCATATAGAATCACATAGAGTAATATTTTTAATGATTAAATTTATATAGAATGATGCTTAATTGTATCACTGTCGTCTCATTGGATTTCTCTTGTGGAAAGTTAACTGACTATGAGACAGCGAAGATGATTGAAATTAAAGCAATATTGATAGTATCAATTGCTGAGCTATTTTCCCTCTCCTCTTTTCAACGAGCTATCACAATATGGATAAGTTACTCCATAAATTTGGTCTACCCGGAAGAGATTTCTGGATTTTGAGATCTCCAGTCTGCCAATGGTGCAATAAATCATTCGCTTCCTTGTTTTTTCTTTCAATTTTTGGTAATAGGTACAGAAGAAAAAAGTGTTCAGATTTGCTAAGATTGTTAACATATTTTGCAGTGGCATCGCAGGAATTCATCAAATATTAAAAATGGGATGGACACCGTTATTTGGGAAGGTTTTGGAAATCATACATCATCTGTCGGAAAAAAAGAAAAAGAAAAGAAAAAAAATCACGGAATTATTGACAGAATGACCCCGAAGACTTTAAATTCAGTTGCCATCTTGTATTCTTTTAGTTTTTAGTTTTTTTTTTTTTTTTTTTATCTGTTTCGCTTTTGCAATAATAATCCATCAGATTTTCAGGGACTGTCTAAGAAATTGGTTATATTATTTCTTGTTTTCATTGCCTGACTGGCGCTCAAAAAGAAAAAAAAGTAATACCATCTTTTGCTTTAACGACAGAATCCTTTGTAAAATATTTCATTCTTTTTTTTATTTCTTTCGTTTCCTTTCCACATATTCGTTTTTGCAACAGCAATAATAAAACGAAGGTTTTTTTTTTCGTATTCTGTCCATTTTAATATCATTTCCTCTTACACCATTTACGGAGTGTATATATTTTTTTCTCATCCTTTTTGCTTGTCATATAAAAATTCTCTTTAAATTTATTCTAGTTTTTGTTCAGATCAACAACTGTTTCTTTCTTATCTTCTTTCATATATTATTATTTTTATTTCATAAAGGCCGTTTTATTCGTACACATCTTTCGTACGCTAAATGCAGCAATTATTAGGGAAAAGATCGAGTAGATTTAGTTATTTCTATCAATATTATCACGGTTTAAATGTCGCCTCCTTTTACACCGAAAGTCATTTAGACCGTTCTCTGGTGTAGATGTGTCTATAGGTTTTCACTGAAAGACGTGGAGAAATAAACACGTCCAAAACATACTGTTCAAAAACCAGCTGCAGACGTGTTTATACATCAATCTTGATTCTTTTTATGCCCTTCTGAGCTTGAAACGATTCTACTTGTCAACTCAAACGTCTGGAAGAGGTGTTAGCCACCGCTTGGGTACTTCAAGGTTTCAGTTACTTCAGTTTCCTTAAACCGTTTTCCCCAAAATAATTGGCGGGGAAGGAGTTAAACAAAAATATAATTACTATATATGATTTCACTTTATTTTTGAAAATAACGTGTACCATCAGGACGTATCTGATCATGGCTTTCCACAGATTCTTTTATTTATTATAAGTGACTCCTTAGGAAAGATAGCGGAGTGGTTTTTCATTGCTCTCAGCTTAATGTTGAGTTCAGAGTAGTCATACTCTTTGGCCATCTTCCACTTTAGCTTTGACCAGTCTGTAATTTAACTCGCAGTTAAGAGGAAATATAGATTCAACTCTTTTCCAAGTGCAGAAGGGCGAAGTGAAACCCACAGAATTGGACGAAATTATATAATAATAATAGTTGCTCTGATTCTCCAACAGGCATAGCTCACATGGCTTCTGGCCTTAACTGATTCGAGGTGTTTTGTCTTGCTGAATTTAAATGGGCAACAATAAATCTATTACGGGTGTGCGGGATGGTGAGTCGGAGTGCCGAGTTCGAATTCCAGTCGAGTTTCATTCATTTAGGCGCAAATGCCCTTCGAAAAGCTATGGATCTATTTCTTCTCTCCTCAGCTATGGGTAAATAGCAGATCAGACAAGGCTATATCCTTGGTTGGCAACCAGTTTAAGAAAAGAACTTCGAATTCAAACCAACCTGGAACGGGTTCGGCTCTGTCAGGCTAGTTTACCCAAGACACATTACTTCACCTACGACTGCAGTATATATGATGTCCCGACGGCCCTTATGATCGTGTTCATGACAGTAAATATACCACTCATTACCGTAGATTGTTAGTTGGCTGATCTGAGCCAGTTGGGCACGCGACTTAGACACATCTTTGACGTAGAGTGAGATGGTCCGTTTTCAGGTCTTGTTTTTTTGATACTATATCCAGTACTCCAATAATAACTGGTAGGACTGTCATCAATCTCCTCAGCGCTCTTGAAAAGTCTATTTACTCATCACTGTTTGAATTTTCGAATTAAAATAAATAACCCAAACAAGGCGGAATTGCCACTAGTACGCAGGGGAGTGACAGGGAGTGAAAGAAAAGACTGAGTATAAGGAGGATTGAGGAAAGGGTAAAAGATGAACAGAATTCAAGAAGACGGCGATTGACATTGCATTAAAACTTTTGAAGATTATAGTTTGCAGGGAAGCAAGTAAACAGAATGGAGTTTCGCAGGCGGACAGTGCGAGAAAAGAAACTGTTGGAGTAGAAATGGCAGTTGCATTTAACTATTTCAACAGTAAACGGGTGGGACCTAAATGCCAATCTAGTAGCATGCTTCAATTCATGTAGTCGGAGCACCAGGGTAAAAAAAAGCCTGTCAGATCAATTGCCATGAAAAGATCTGTAGAAAAGACAGAGGAAACCCACGCCACACAGGTGAGAAAGTGACTGAAGACGAGATGCCTGGTCAGAATCGAATATATTACAGATCCTTCTTTGGATTTTGTCAGCAATTGAGGAGTTATCATTATAAGATATGGACTGCGGAACGAGGCCAAACTAAATCTCTAAATTGCGTGAAGTGTTCAGTTTGAAATCCGCTGAAGATTACCTGGATCAATAGACACCTGAAGAAGACAAGAGGGAATAACAACCGAAACGTTGTGACACTAACGACAATGATGAGGCGAATGCAAATAATGTAGATGCTTATTCTCGGTTACCTTTATTTCAGATCTACGCTGTGCTTTTTCAGAACATGGAGGCCATTTTCATTTTTCAGAAAAGCGGAGGCCATCTTCATTTTCCAGAACAGAGCAGGCCATTTTCATTTTCCAGAACAGCGCAGACCATTTTCATTTCCCAGAACGGCGGAGGCCATTTTTATTTTTCAGAACGGCGGAGGCCATTTTCATTTTCCAGAACGGCGGAGGTCATTTTCATTTTCCAAAACGGCGGAGGCCATTTTCATTTTTCAGAAAAGCGGAGGCCATCTTCATTTTTCAGAAAAGCGGAGGCCATCTTCATTTTTCAGAAAAGCGGAGGCCATCTTCATTTTCAAGAACAGAGCAGGCCATCTTCATTTTCATTTTCCAGAACGGCGGAGGCCATTTTTATTTTTCAGAACGGCGGAGGCCATTTTTATTTTTCAGAAAGGAGGAGGCCATTTTCATTTTCCAGAACGGCGGAGACCATTTTCATTTTCCAAAACGGCGGAGGCCATTTTCATTTTTCAGAACAGCGGAGGCCATTTTCATCTGGATTTCTGTCTTGGGTGGGTTCTCTGATTGAGTTTCAAATTCATAGAGATTTATTTCTTTAATTCTTGAGAAAGAATTCTGTTTTGTACATATACCGTTAGTTTGTCTGGTTAAAATTCAATCGTTTGCACACTTGCAATGGATTACCTTTCCCACCCATTCATGTCTTTTCTTTTCTTGTTCATGTATTCCGTAATACGTTGAGTCATAAATAATTTCCATTTTGCCGAACAAATTGTAATGACGAATATCCTAACTACCCGCTTTTAAAATATATCATAATAGATGAAGAAGAAAATGGGTTACATACGACGATGATTAACGCCAAAGTTAAGGATGGCTCTTATACTTGTCAGCAGAAACTGAAAACGACCCCAAAAGCTGAACTCTACGGAAGAAAGGCCATACTTGCGTGTGAAATCATCGGGGTATTATTCTTTTAGAGCTTTAAAACAATGAGTCACTAAATATACATTTATATATCCAGCAGTTACAATTTGTCCATAAATATCTGGTCGAAAAGAGCCATGTGTTCGTCAGGAGGAGATATATCCCCACCTCATGAACACACAAGTCCGATTAAAGTAAGAATAATTACAGGAAAAAGAATTGGACCACAATTGTCATGTTCTACTCGCTATATTCATCTGCACTAAAGGATTGTTACATTTTTCGATGGCTGCAAAACATTTTGATGGAGAATATTTTCTCTAATGAAAGCCAGATTCAAGATTTTTTTCCAAACTTTTTCATGTCAAATCTTGCGAACTTTTAATTGAAAAGATATCAAAGAGCTGCATGACCTTGCACCAGTGGATTGTTATATTTTCCAATGTCTGCAAAACATTTTGATGGGGAATAGTTACTCGAATGAAAACCAGATTCAAATTTTTAAAAAAAAACCTTTGCACATAAAATTGATGGGGAAAATTTTCTCTAATGCGAATAATGGTGAATATATAACGGAATAAAATATAACTGCCACTTCTTTTCAAGAATAAAATGGATCAGCAAAACGGAAATTATTTTAATAGCTCATTGTCTCATCTTTTTTTCCTTTCAACTGACATTTGCTTTTCTGTTTTTCTTTTTTTTATATCCAGGTTTGGTTCAATTTCATATTTATTCTGCATTCTTGAAGAACAGCGGAGTCAGCTGTCATAAGTTGTTCTTTTTGCTCAAATTACAAGATCAGTTGCTTTTATCTGAATTCAATGATACTTCTTCCTACTTATTTAGAAGTGGTGATCATTTTAATTTCAAACTCCTAGAATTGGTGAGGCATTTTAATCTCAAACATTGTGTCTAATTCCCTAGAACAAATCCTTGATCTGCGCAAATTGACCATTGATTTATATGGTAAAAATATTATCTCTGGGACTAGCAGATAATCTTCCCCCAACCAGTCATACATATACATGTATCTTTTTCTGGTGATTTGCTAAATGTATTGATTCTTTATTGTCTCTTCTGATTGCCTCAGCTTCATTTTCACGTGAAATAATTTTCCATTCTCTGGTATTGTTTATTGTGATTTACTAAGCAAAGCTTAGATGTGGCACAAAGCCAAAAGTACGCAGCACATAGTGAGGATCGAACTCACTACTCAGTAGGAATTGCTATGGTGAGACGTCTTGTAATGTTTATAGCTTGCTCCTTATATACATGTTTCATTTATGGTATTGTTTTTCTGACTCTAAAGAGTTACGCAGTTTATTGTTTTAGGTTGAAGTGTGACACGAACATTATTATTATTATTTTCTTTGATTTCTGGCGTTTATACATTTCTTTCCGGTTCCCGCCCAGGGCCCTAAGGTTAGAAATGGCATCATGACAAAAAAAAAAAATACATAGATAAAGCCCTTTGTAAAGTGTGGGCTATACTTGTCAGAACAATTTTTGTATCTCCTTAAGGCATGGACTTCCAGGAATACCTTCAATTAGTCTACTGGAATCTTTTCCAACCAGTTCTAGAGCTCCAACTACAACAGGGATTGTTGATGTTCCCATATGCCACATTTTCGAGATTTCTATTTCAAGGTCCTTGTATTTTGATAGCTTTTTGAATATCTTCAAAGATACATTGCAGTCAGCAGGGACTGCCATATCAATAAGGAGGCACTTTTTTTGTTTGTGGTCTTTAATAACAATACACCTATCATCGCCATCGTTTAATTATTTCCTTCCAGCAAATTCTTTTTTAAAAGGATTTGCTAATCTTCTTGTATGTGCCGTGTCTCTTCTGAACGTGGACGATCTTGCCTCTCCAAAGTATCCTGTCTACTGTAGTTCTAAGAATGATTGACAGCAGCATCCATTTTTGTCTCTGTTCTGCCATCCATTCACGGCAACTGATTAGGTATTTTACTCGTTGTTTCTCTCTATCCATTTTGGTTTCAGTATTCCCTGTGAGTGTTTAATTCTCCAGGTCCTCTTTCCAGCATCCCAGAAACTTCAATCTTCTTTCACAGATTTTAAGTATTAATTTACTTTTAGTTATCATCTTATTTAAAACTATTTCTTTGTCCACATGTCCAGTCCATCGCATTCTCAGCCTCCCTCTGTTGAATCGCATCTCTGTGGCTTCGAGTTTCTTTATCATCTCTAAGGAAACTGTTCAGAATTAGATGCCGTATAGGATGCTAGATACGACAGAGGAAGACAGATTCTTTTTTTCTTTGTTTCTAATGAAATTTTCCTATTTTTAAATACTTTGCTTTCCTTCTGAGAGGCATTTTTCGGTATTTCATATCTCTGTGTTACATTTTGTGTCATCTGTTAATTTTTTTCTATTTGTTTGGATCTGACATTTCCAATTCGAACTTCACACCTTTTGGCGTCTCTCCTGTTGAGGACCAGACATTTTGTCTATTCATGATCATCGGTTAGTCCTTTCTTCTCTTACTACGATGATCAGTACACACTTCTTTTTTTCCTGACAGCCTTCTCTTTTGCTTTTTCTTACCCTTCATTTCCTTTTCTTATTTTCCTGTTGATGCCTTTATTTATTCTTCTTTTTCCTTCACACGTCCTCCTCCCTGTTTATCTTCGCCTTCCTCTTCTCCTACCAGAGGCATTCGTTGTTTCTTTCCTTCGATCTTTCTTTTAGATAGCAATATTAAAAATCAATTATTTCACGCCGAATTCATCTGACGTCATCGCTATTGATTTGTATGCTGGACGAATTGATTCGGCTCGAGCGCCTTATATCGAGGCAGTGCTATGTGCAAGGAGGTGATTTAGATTTTCATATGTGTGTTAAATAGACAAAGATACATCATTGAAATCTCACGGGTTGTGACTCTGGACAGGACGAGAATACGAACACAGGAAATGAAAAGAAAAAAACAAAGAGAAACAGTGACACAAAGGAGTGGGTTATTTTAAGAAGAGAAGAATAAACGAAGAGAAAGAAAGAGAAAACAAAGGGACAACTTTATAGAGAAATAAAGATATTGAAGACAGAATTATGATTGAATAATCAGAGAAAGAAAGAACGAATACAGAATAAAGAGAAAGAAGACAGAGAGTGAAAACTAAATGGAGAGAGAGAGTGAGAGAGAGAGAGAGAGGGAGAGAAAAGGAAGATTGAAAGTGGAGTGAGAGATTAAAGACTGAATGGTGGGGGAGAGAAAATGAAGACTGAACCGGGGCGGAGAGAGAATGAAGAGTAAACTGGGGAGGTCGAGAGAGAATGACTGAACGGGAGGAAAAGAGCGAGAATGATGACTGGAGAGAGAGAGAGAGAGAGAGAGAGAGAGAGAGAGAAGGAAGAATGAAGACTGAAAGTGGATTGAGAGAGAGAGAGAGAGAGAGAGAATGAAGACTGAAAGTGGATTGGAGAGAGAGAGAGAGAATGAAGACTGAACGCAGAGAGAGAGAGAGAGAGAGAGAAAATGAAGACTGAATGCAGTGAGAGAGAGAAAGAGAGGATGTAGACTGAACGCGTTGAGAGAGAGAGAGAGAGAGAATGAAGACTGAACGCGTTGAGAGAGAGAGAGAGAATGAAGACTGAACGCGTTGAGAGAGAGAGAGAGAATGAAGACTGAACGCGTTGAGAGAGAGAGAGAGAATGAAGACTGAACGCGTTGAGAGAGAGAGAGAGAGAATGAAGACTGAACGCGTTGAGAGAGAGAGAGAATGAACACGTCGAGAGAGAGAGAGAGAATGAAGACTGAACGCGTTGAGAGAGAGAGAGCGAATGAAGACTGAACGCGTTGAGAGAGAGAGAGCGAATGAAGACTGAACGCGTTGAGAGAGAGAGAGCGAATGAAGACTGAACGCGTTGAGAGAGAGAGAGCGAATGAAGACTGAACGCGTTGAGAGAGATAGAATGAACATTTTAAGAGAGAGAGCGAATGAAGAATGAACGCGTTGAGAGAGAGAGAGAGAGCGAATGAAGACTGAATGCGTTGAGAGAGAGAATTAAGACTGAACGCGTTGAGAGAGAGAATGAAGACTGAACGCGTTGAGAGAGAGAATGAAGACTGAACGCGTTGAGAGAGAGAGAGAGAGAGAGAATGAAGACTGAACGCGTTGAGAGAGAGAGAGAATGAACACGTTGAGAGAGAGAGAGAGAATGAAGACTGAACGCGTTGAGAGAGAGAGAGCGAATGAAGACTGAACGCGTTGAGAGAGAGAGCGAATGAAGACTGAACGCGTTGAGAGAGATAGAATGAACATTTTAAGAGAGAGAGCGAATGAAGAATGAACGCGTTGAGAGAGAGAGAGAGAGAGAGAGAGCGAATGAAGACTGAACGCGTTGAGAGAGAGAGAGAGAGAGAGGAATGAAGACTGAACGCGTTGAGAGAGAGAGAGAGAGAGAGAGCGAATGAAGACTGAACGCGTTGAGAGAGAGAGAGAGAGAGAGAGCGAATGAAGACTGAACGCGTTGAGAGAGAGAGAGAGCGAGCGAATGAAGACTGAACGCGTTGAGAGAGAGAGAGAGCGAGCGAATGAAGACTGAACGCGTTGAGAGAGAGAGAGAGAGCGAATGAAGACTGAACGCGTTGAGAGAGAGAGAGCGAATGAAAACTGAACGCGTTGAGAGAGAGAGAGAGAATGAAAACTGAACGCGTTGAGAGAGAGAGAGAATGAAAACTGAACGCGTTGAGAGAGAGAGAGAATGAAAACTGAACGCGTTGAGAGAGAGAGAGAGAGAATGAAGACTGAACGCGTTGAGAGAGAGAGAGAGAATGAAGACTGAACGCGTTGAGAGAGAGAGAGAGAGAATGAAGACTGAACGCGTTGAGAGAGATAGAATGAACACATTGAGAGAGAGAGCGAATGAAGACTGAACGCGGTGAGAGAGAGAGGGAATGAAGACTGAACGCGATGAGAGAGAGAATGAACGGCAAGATATAGAGAGAGAGATAATGAAGACTGAATGGAGAAAAAGAGATAGGGAATAAAGGCTGAACGGAGAAAGAATGAAGACTGAAGGGAAAAAAGAGAAAGGCAGAATGAAGAGAAAAAGAGAATAAAGACAGAAAGTGTGAGATTGAAAACCTGATAGCGAGAAAGAGAGAGAATGAAGATGGAATGGAGAGAAAGGGTAAATCAAAAACCTTGAGGGAAAGAGACAAGGAATATAAAAGGCGACAAAAAAGGAAAGTAGAAGAATTTAAAGATCTTATGAAAGTTTAGCTAGATTATGGCGGAGCGGCAGGCAAGTTATCTTGCGACTGATACCTTTGTCACGAAACCTTTTATTCCGACAGTGAATAAGTCGTGGAGATTCAGATTCCGCGACAGCACCTCCTGATGTCATTATGATGAAAGTATTGCAGTATGATGAAGTATTTGTGACTGTTCGCTTGAACAAACGCATTTTTGTCTTTGTCCGCACTTTTACAGCTCGACGTTAAATTGACGAATCCCTTACACAAAGCATGAATCTTGGTCGGAATCAGCTGATATATGCGAAGAACGACTGCTAATTCAAAACCATTGAGAGTCAACAAGAAACCACTCCACTATCTTTCCCCAATAGTCACTGCAATTCAAATAATTAAAAAAAAATGTTTTATGCTGAGCGCTTTGAACGCCTACGTTCTGTAGTGACGTGGCATTAAAGAAGATGGATACCATTTATTTATATGTTCTAAGTCAAAGCATTTGCACAATTCTCAGTGAAGCACTTTTCCTACCCATTCGTATTGCTATTGTTTTTTTTTGGTTTTGTTTTTTTTTTTCGTAATAACAAAAATAATTGGGATCACAACAGAGAAGAAAGTTCTGGAAAATAGAAAAGATAAAGCACATTGTGATATTCCGATACAGGCAGTAACAATTCTAGAGCGTAATAAACCATATATAGTTGTGCTTATAGAAGAGATAACAAAAATCCTAGTTGATGGAAGTACATTCTGCTGATTTAACATAAGATTTCTAAGTAAAGAAAAAAAACACACACACACAGGTTCAGTGAAAGTTTGAGAAGGACTAGCAAAGAAAATAATTACAATACAAGTGATCATTAGAGCACTTGGATGTTGTACAAAAACATGAAAAAAAAAACAACCCTTGATTTGAAACAAGAGATATCAGAAAAAAGCCTACCTTGTCAGAACAGCAAGGATACTTAGAAAAGTCTTGGTGACAGGGTATCGATGAAAAGAACAAATAGCCGATTTATTTTCTGAATATTTTGGCGTCCATTGTTTCCTCAGGGGAAATATTTTAAGACACTTTTTTTTTTAATATCAAAAAAGCGGCAATTTGAATTATTTTATTTTCATCGATAATGTACACAGAAGAAGACTATAATACAATATGTATTTGCACTACGTGATAAAATAGAATTTATGATTTATCAATTTTTACTGATTTTGCAACCATGTCCGGGCACTAAAATGTTAAGTCACAACAGGTGGTCTGAAAATAAAATTTTTATCAGCAACCAACATCATATAATAATAATAATAATAAAAGAAAGAATATAAAATTTGACATTTGACTTGTACGTTCATTATAAGCTGCATTGATAATGGCAAAAATATTAGTTACCCCAGTATCTGGTGAGTAATATATATATATATATATATATATATATATATAATTATAATACCTCTACTCGACTGGTATATATATATAAAAATCATATATTTAAACAAACTGGTATTTTGGAGGAAAAGAAAAGACTAAAAACACCCGAGTAGGTCGAAAAAAATCGCCTAAAGCCGAAATCCTTAGTCAAAGGAAAAAAAATCGAGTAAAATGAGAAAAAAACGTGAAGTACTCAATACACTAAGTAGAACAGAGTATAAAAATTCTAGTGAGCAAGAAATTAACTACCTAGGTAGTTTCTGGCTCATTAGGATTATATATATATATATATATATATATATATATATATATATATATATATATATATATGCGTATCTGTCTACATTAGAGTCAATACCGAACGGTGACAATTTGTTTTATGCTTGGACGCAATCGTCAGTCTATATGTTGTCGTTGGGTGTTGACTTCAATGTCTACTTTTATGTTTACGTATTTCTCTCCCTGATGTTAAGCACTTTAACCTTTGAATATATCATACGTTAAAACAATATTGTATCACATTATATATATATATATATATATATATATATATTTCATTGAATATGATAGACAAGGTGCTTTTATTTAGTTTTTTATTCAATTTTTCGTGCGATCTAATATTTTTTTCTTTTCAAATGATAAATTATATAAAAACTGTCCGAATGTTCTTTTTATCCGAGCGCTTTCGGCTATACATTTAGCCATTTTTAAGGATTATATTTTAACTGTTAAAATAAGAAATAGTTTGTTGTATGTAAGTTTTATAAAATGTTTTTATTTTTCAAAACACGGTCAAGATATTATGTCCATGTTTAAAGTTAATATTAGTAAATGTTGGTTTGTTTGTTTTTATTAATAAGGCTTCCATTATTTTTAGCTTTTTTTTTTACATGTAGATGATGCTATTATATTAGTGTTGTCAATAAGTATGTTACGAATAGTGTCCGGTAGGTTTCCATGAATATTTAAATGAAATCTAATTGAGCTATGATCAGAAAGGTGTAGAGTGAGTCTGCGTGTCAAACATGTTGTAGTGTGGCCTATATAAATATTTACGAATTTTGATTGGTCAGAAATACAATTCCTTAATGGGCATTTAAATTCGTAAATAATATTTGCCCTATTTAATTTTGTTCTTGGATGTGAAATATTACTTTCAACTATAAGGTTAGAGGTTTTAAATTTTATTTTTAGATCGCATTTTTTTTTGTTTGGAAGTAAAGTCTGATGATCCGCAGTCCTTTAAAAGGGCTGTGGTGAAATAATTTATTTCATGGAACCTTAAAGTGGTCTGTTTTTATTTAAATTATTTGCTCTGGATTTACACTGAGCTTTCTGGATTTTATTTTCCTTGGGTTTACCCATACGGATTACCTCGTTTTTCATAAACTATATATATATATATATATATATATATATATATATTGAGCGTAACTGATGGCAACCAACCTTCATCATTCCGAGGCGCAATCCATTTTGCCACACGCACATCAACGCTCATTATATGAAAAAATTAAAAAAAAAAATTATAAGCAAATAGTCTAAATTTTAACATAACTGGTAGATTTGCTTAAGAACTAGTACTCGGTCAATGGTTACTTTGTTATGCTTGGGTCTAATAAATAGAAAATGAAACATTACAATATGGCGAAACAAACAAAACTGGTTGAAGTTTTAAATAAAATAATGTATTTCGTATTTCTTTTGTTTCAGTTTACGTTTGTTTTTTATTCTTTTTCTTCTTCACGGTTGCTAAAGGCACATTGATACTGTGTTGTCTAATCTGCAGTCAAATTGGAATATTGCTCCCGAGAAGGGAACTGCTTATAAAAATTGTGAAGCAGATCGTTATGGTTGAATTAAGTTCGATCCATGCTGGATGGTGTAGAGTTGTAGCTTTGTGTCAGATTATCATCATCGGCCCCTCGACTGCTTTAATCTTTGGTGAGGTTAGAGGGGACGTGCTAGCAGAAGAAACAATCTTCATACTCATTATCTATCCAATGGGCTTTGAGAAAACTTTGTTGCAGCCATCTTATTTCCAGATTTGACTAAAACCTATACTTTGAAAAGAGCAACAACATGCTACTAACTTACGTAATTTCATCATTTCCTTTTACTTGATCCATGTTTCATTCATTACAGCGGGGTGGGGTTGTCTCCATTATATTATTACAGTAGAACTTCCTTATTTACATCCGAAACTGACTTACCTGCAAAAGAGAGAAAAAAATACATATTAAGTATGTATATATATATATATATATATATATATATATATATATATATATATATATATATATATATATAAAAAGAGAGGGAGAGAGAAAAGAGAGAGGGATTAAATAATATTTATGTTGGTCACACCACAAACTTGCTTTCACGACGCTTGAATCTACATTTGAATGATAATTCTAACATTTTTAGGCATTTAAAACATCATGCTTGACAGCATACACAATTCTGGAAAATCCTCGTTGAAAATATAATTATACTTAAACTTGAAAACACAACTATACTTCTAAGATGAAAAAACAAAACAAACAAAAACTAAAAATTCTTGAAGCTATATACATAAAGCAGTTGAAACCTAACCTGAACACAATAAACTATGAAAACTCCAAAAACATACTTAAATGCCTATAATTGATAACAGAAGCCATTTGCTTATACCAAAGGCTTCCCATACTTAACACTTCTCGTTTTCATTCTCGCGTGGTCAAGTGTGACGTCAAGGACCCCGGTGCAATTTTCGCGTCCAGCGTCTCGTATGCATGAGTTTGTCGTTGCTTGGAAATCGTCCATGGAAACAAAACAGACTGTCATTGATGTTATGTCAGTGTATTGTTTAATTTATTGTAATGTAATTGTCATCTTTGATGATGGCTTATGTAAGCCGTAAGCATGGAGTCGATTAAAAAACATTTATCAACATGGTGATTTTCTTTCATCTTTCAATAATAATGTTATTAAGCTTATCAGACGACATGAAAGGAATTTGCTTGAAATAAATAAACAAAACTTATCTATATTATTTAATGAAACATGCATCAATATATATATATATATGGGTGTGTCAGTCTGTCTTTTATTGGCTTTCACGAAAGAAAAGTCACGTAAAAAGCCTTACAGAAAATTCTGTATGGAAATGTTTAATCAGTCAATACCTATATATATATATATATATATATATATATATATATGAAACATTTCTCAGAGTTAACCTGTAGAAAATGACAATATTCACAACTGTAAAAGACAATAGAAAAACTCTAAGAAAGTCCACGTCGGACGAAACGCGCCGGCAACTAATACAGTTTTCCTATTGTCTTTAACATTATATATATATATATATATATATATATATATATATATATTCAGTTGTATGGATATGAGTTTGTGACCCTAGGTTTCACCCTTTTGCGATCAACAGACAAACTGTATTTTTTTTTCAAATAATCTATTTATGCTTGTTTGTGTTTATGTTTGGTGGTGGGAGGGTAAAATTCTTCTCTGTGTCAGTTTGGGTTGACACTCTCATACACATATATATGCAAGTGTACGCATTTTAGTTCACACAAACACAACCATATAATCAATCCGAGATTAGGTGCAGATATACACTCGTGCTTTCAATATATACGCGTGTGTATCTTCGCCTAATCTCGGCTTGTTTATATGAGTGCGTTTGTGTGAACTAAAATGCGTACACCTGTATCTATGCATGTGTGTGTGTGTGTGAGAGAGAGAGAAAGTGTCATCCCAAACGGACACAGAGGGGAATTTCCCCCTCACACCAACAAACATAATCTAACACAAACGAGCATAAACAGATTAAATTTTAAAAATTAAACCAGTTTGTCTGATGACCGCAAAGGCGTGAAAGCCAGAGTCACAAACTCATATACATACAACTGAATATGTTAGGTCTGATGTTGAGCGCTTTCCAATAAGTACTGCGAATAAAAAATTATATATATATATATATATATATATATATATATAACAAATGAAAGTATTGGTAAATATTGAAATAACAATTAAAAAAGTTACACAACGAACAAAAAAACAAAAAACAACAGGAAATCAAAAAAAAAAGGAAAAAAATAAACATAAAAGAAAATAAGACCAAAAGGCAGACGACTAACTGCACAATTATGTAAAGTGCTCAATGTCTTAATCGCATCGAAAAAGATAGAGTAGTAACGCCAACCAACGACATTGCACAAAAGAGACTCTACGCCATGATGTATTGTACAAGATCACATCTAACCTTGAAACACATGAATTTATTCTAAGATTTTTATCAGAACCTTATTTTTTGTTCTTCGTACCGTTAGTAGCTTTATTTAATTTTTATGAGATGAAGTATTGTCAACGATTATTTGATTACTATTTACTTTCACTTTTTTCCCCCTTTTTATTGCAAATTTACTCAAGCCATCAGTCTCCGGAAGGAACCTTTACACTTGTAAGCGTTCGCTGCAACAGGTATCGAGAAACTACTTATATAAAATGACGACAACCAATATAAGAGAGTTGGTAAGTGAGAGACGATGCCAATCTAATATGTATTACCTTCCGGGATAAGTATTTGAGGGTAGCGTTGTTTGTCTCTGCTCGCCTATCTTAATTACCACAGTGACCTTTTGTAACGAGTCCTCTCTAAGTTTTCAGTACTTTCGGCTTCAAGCAATTTCTCGGTTTAATTACGTTTCGTATATTCTCGTTGCTATCGTCAAATCTTTCTTATAATCAAGATGAACTAAACGTTATTTCTTCGCGTAATGTTTTAATAATAAACAGAATTTACTGTCTTTATTTTATTGCTTTAGTTTTTTCGCCATCTTATTGTTGCTTGTTATCACAATATTCGATAGATACACTCTTTGACCGTTTCAATAAACGGCACAAAGTCAGAAATAAAACTGCTTCTTTAATACGCCATATCCTTTCAGGGCATTGTGGGATCTTCTCTCTTTTTTGTTATCCTTTTTTTGATTGTTAACAGCAGCTTCTTTGTATTTCGTATTCTCTTCAACATTCTTTGGTCGTCAGATATTAGTCTAGTGCATTATTAACGTTCGGTTGAACTACATTTCTGTCGCTTTAAGTATTTATTAATGTAGCATTCAAGGATTCTTTGCTTTGTTTCTAAGGGCATTTGAAAAACCATCAACTGCATCACAGAAAATATGGCCGTCAACAAGAGGTAAGATGAGACTTACAAACTGGATATGTCAATACCAAGTACAGACCGTTAAATATCTGGGAAATCTTTTAACAGACGGTAGAAAAATGTGACACCGAAATCCAAACACACATTGGACCAGCATATTCCAAAAGCTGAGTTCCCAAAAACAAAGTACTGAGAAACTGAAAAATTACGTTAGAAACAAAGAAAAGGGTCCTAGATTGCGATGTAATATCTATTCTCTTGTATGACTGTAAATGCTGGACAATCTTCCCAGTGCTGAGGAGTAAACGAGATGCAACAGAAATGAAATTCTACAGAAGGATACTAAGAACTCTATGGACAGAGCGAGTAAGCAACATGGGTGTCTTAACGAAAATAGGAACAAAAAGAAAATTTATCCTGAGAATCAGGAAGAGAAATTGAACGCATTGAGGAATGTAGTCTTGTAGAAATTTACCCCTACAGGGCATATACAGGTCAAGAAACCGAGGCTAAAGCATTGAGTTACCTAGCAGTCGAACTTCTGAATGGATGGTGGAACGCAGGTTAGAGAAGTGTCACATGAGATATAAGAAAATGTTGGTGAGGCATGTTCTACAATGTCCCGAAGAGATGAGGTAGATAGAAGCAGAATGTCATTTTCAGACTGTTTTAATTTTGTTTAGTTTCAAGTGTTTGACTAACAGGAACCTTCGTGAACTGCACAGATGCTGTATAAACCAGAAGTGGGGTCTGTGGCTGTCTGCAACTCAGAATTGCCAACCGACCGTCCTAGCAGACGGGTATGATCGAAAATAAGTACCCAGACATTATAATAGGTACTAACATAAAATATAAATGACGCGTAGACTCGTCTATTCAGAATAGCATTAATTTACAAATGGAAATAATATCTGCCTAATGAAGAGAACCTACAAAAATAACACGGCTTCATTCTGCAATCTAGTAGCCATTGATATGGAATTAACAAGAAGTTGCATCAGTTTATAATATGGGAACCCAATTACTGGAAAAAATGGAGACGGGGACGAGAAAGAAACGCCATCGAACAACGGATAAACAACACCAGAATTAGAAAGGAAGAATTGCGTGGGGTATGATTTTTTTTATGACTAACAACCTTTTTCAGATTAATTAAATATTTTTAGTTTCTAAGAAGTTTTTGGTGAGGGATAATGACAATTTGCACATGCACGTCACACTAATTAACCCATAGGTGGAGGTATAAGAGCCGGATTTGAGCGTAAGGGAATTATAACGAAACCGACTGGAATTGGAGCTCGACTCTTCGATTTCCAATTCCGAGCCGTTATCCATTACACCATTCTCACATATAAGCTTACAATATATTGTATTCTCAAACAGCCACCCATCCAGGTATTGATGTTGCTTAACTTCGGTGATCGTATGAAAACTTGTGTTGCAACGTCATATAGCCATTAACCTTGTGTAGAGCTGTAGACAAAAGGAAATGGTTGGAAATAAACGACTCACACATGTCACAGAGGATAAAGTCGTTAGTTACATCCAGTGACAGGACCCAAAGAGTGTGAGTTCAATACCTGGTTAAGGCGGTGGAGGACTTGGAGAGGGGAATTTACAAGAGATAACTGACATGGCACGTGGAACTAGAACATTCTACCCCATTGAGCGAAATAAAGGGTTCAGTTCGACATTCCAACCACCTGAAGAAGGCCGGAGCGTAAAACGGCCGAAACGTTGTAATAAATATGGCGACAAAGATGAGGACAATAGTCCGAATAATGTAAAAAGTGAACTGTCTTCTTGTTTGTTGTTGTTATTACAACGTTTCTGCTTTTTCCTTCCAGACTTCATCAGTTGCTTGTCGAACCGGGTAAACTTCAGGGAATTTCAATCTAAACCCTTCATTTAATTACTCGGTTATATTCTCGTTCCGCTAACCCTGCCTAGGGATGTAATTACTATGTTAGTGATGTTTAGGTATTACTCGCCTCTTTTCCACTAAGTTAAAGTACGCACTGCACTGTTCAGGGTTTGAACTCACGATAACTATACTGAGAAAGTCATGAACCAACCACGACGCTACTGTGATAATGGAATTACTTCATCGACAAGATTCGCCGCAGTTCAAAGGAATATCACACATCGTTAGAAATTTATTTTCTGTCTGAAAGGAATTTTATGAACCCTAGATCTCTGGTTGAGATTGGATGAAATAGTGAGACAATCGTGCAGGATGTTAGCCTGATACTATTCGTACGACTAATACGACGTATAATTGGTGGAAATTCAATGGGCAATTTCTGTAAAATCGAGGAAATCGGAGGCAGGAAATCAGTGATTGGTCGGCATCACGGATTAATTAGTTGAAAGATGAAATCGGTGAGAGAATCTCAGTAAAATCCGCCTCAGAAGCACTGGCGCTTCGTCAATTCTTGATTGTCATCATTGTTGCCTGTCTTTTAAGCTTCGCCTTCTCGTACTTGGCTGACAATAGCCTTTCACAAAGTATTATTAATATTTGCAAGCAGTCTTTCAAATCTATTCTCCTCCACCGTACCTTCGTTTTTCTATTTATGCTTGTTGTTGTTGTTGTTGTTGTTGATGTTGTTGTTGATGGTCTTTTCTTTCTTGTCTTCCTGTTTTTTGATTCGTCTTTTCTTTTTATCTTTTTAGTTTTTCTATCATTTACTTGTTTATTTTCTGCTTTCTTTGGCTTTATTTTTTTCTTTAAATATCTACCTTCCTTCATAACCTTTGTTTTGTCAATTTCTTTCTTTCTTTCTTTCTTTTATCTTCGGGCTGTTCGTTTTGTTCTTTCTTTGGTCTGTCAATTTCTTTCTTTCTTTGGTCTGTCAATTTCTTTCTTTCTTTGGTCTGTCAATTTCTTTCTTTCTTTCTTTGGTCTGTCAATTTCTTTCTTTCATTCTTTCTTTGGTCTGTCAATTTCTTTCTTTCTTTGGTCTGTCAATTTCTTTCTTTCATTGGTCTGTCAATTTCTTTCTTTCTTTGGTCTGTCAATTTCTTTCTTTCATTGGTCTGTCAATTTCTTTCTTTCTTTCTTTGGTCTGTCAATTTCTTTCTTTCTTTCTTTCTTTGGTCTGTCAACTTCTTTCTTTCTTTCTTTCTTTGGTCTGTCAATTTCTTTCTTTCTTTGGTCTGTCAATTTCTTTCTTTCTTTCTTTCTTTCTTTGGTCTGTCAATTTCTTTCTTTCTTTCTTTCTTTCTTTGGTCTGTCAATTTCTTTCTTTCTTTGGTCTGTCAATTTCTTTCTTTCATTCTTTCTTTGGTCTGTCAATTTCTTTCTTTCTTTGGTCTGTCAATTTCTTTCTTTCTTTCTTTCTTTCTTTGGTCTGTCAATTTCTTTCTTTCTTTCTTTCTTTGGTCTGTCAATTTCTTTCTTTCTTTGGTCTGTCAATTTCTTTCTTTTTTTGGTCTGTCAATTTCTTTCTTTCATTCTTTCTTTGGTCTGTCAATTTCTTTCTTTCTTTAGTCTGTCAATTTCTTTCTTTCATTGGTCTGTCAATTTCTTTCTTTCATTGGTCTGTCAATTTCTTTCATTCTTTCTTTGGTCTGTCAATTTCTTTCTTTCTTTCTTTCTTTCTTTCTTTGGTCTGTCAATTTCTTTCTTTCTTTCTTTCTTTGGTCTGTCAATTTCTTTCTTTCTTTCTTTCTTTGGTCTGTCAATTTCTTTCTTTCTTTGGTCTGTCAATTTCTTTCTTTCTTTCTTTGGTCTGTCAATTTCTTTCTTTCTTTCTTTGGTCTGTCAATTTCTTTCTTTCTTTCTTTTTCTTTCTTTGGTCTGTCAATTTCTTTCTTTCTTTCTTTCTTTCTTTGGTCTGTCAATTTCTTTCTTTCTTTCTTTCTTTGGTCTGTCAATTTCTTTCTTTCTTTGGTCTGTCAATTTCTTTCTTTCTTTGGTCTGTCAATTTCTTTCTTTCTTTGGTCTGTCAATTTCTTTCTTTCTTTCTTTCTTTGGTCTGTCAATTTCTTCCATTCTTTTTTTCACTCTTTGGTCTGTCAATTTCTTTCCTTCTTTCTTTGATCTGTCAATTTCTTTCCTTCTTTCTTTGATCTGTCAATTTCTTTCTTTCTTTCTTTCTTAGATCTCTCAATTTCTTTCTTTCTTCTTTTCGTCTGTGGACTTTCTTTCTTTTGACTTTCAATTTCATTCTTTCTTTGGTCTGTCATCTTTTTTTCTTCAGTCTGTGTTCCGCCATTTTTTTTTCGCTCGTCGTTCTGTCAGTGTCTTTTCCTTTCGCTCTTCTTTTCGTCAAGAAGTTTCCTTTTCACACTTCTTTCCCTTAATGATTTTTCTTTTTCGATCATATTTCCATCAATGTCTTCCATTATTTTTCATTTTCTTTCTATCGCGGTCTTTCGTTTTTCTGTCTTTATTTTATTGTGATCGTTTTTTGTTCTCGAGTCTTCCTTCGAATTTTTCTTCATCTTTTTTTTTAGTTCCTCGCCATTTCTTCTCTGTCACCTTAAATATGCTTTCCACCTAGTTTTCCCCATCCTCATCTTTTCCTTCTTCTATTAGTATTACTATTAGTATTACTACCAATACTACAACGAAAACCTTTGTTTTCTTTTGCTATAGTAGCAATCATAATAATAACACTCGTGTAATCAACATTCTTGTCTGTTTATAATAAATAATAATAAACAAGAATATTGATTAGACAAGTGTTATTGGCATAAATATATTTCTACATTCTTATAATGTTTATGGTTTGTACCTTCATGTTTTCTTTCTCTTCAGGAAATAAGAATGCCATCAACTTTCGAGGCAATTTCTTTTGTCAGAAATCGCAAAGAGATATTTAAAAAATACATATATGTTTTATTTACAACACGTAACAACAGCCGTTTTCTTATAGATCATACTACGCCTACTGCTACTACTACGGCAACGGAACAATTGTCACTACTAATATTAGTACTAGTAATATCTTTATTATTTCTACTGTTACTAGCGACACGACCAATAATTTTGGTACAACGAAGAAATATACTCTTGATATTTACTAGTTTGGTTTGATACAACTCAAGGTCAAATTCAGACATTAAGGGCGAGTCGGACGTTTTTATTACGTCGACTTCCAAATTCCGAGAATAGCCGTGCCGAGAAAATAAATAAATTATTTTTTTTAATTAGAGTCGATTTTTACAGATCATCATGAGTAAGAAATAAACAGGCTGTCCATAAATTAGCTGCGCAATTTTATATATCCATAAAGCATGATAACTCTACAGGGTTTATGGGAAAACATAGGCGGAGAAATACATTTCTCTTCAAATTGATCAGAATTTCACATTAACTCCATTAGTTGCACGCAACGCAGCTAGAAGACAATTCTCAATTTCTAACCATGTGAGCTGCAGTATCTCATTAGATCATTTTTTTCATGAGGTCATTTAGGTCTTCAACTTTTCTGGCTTTAACACAGCTCCGTAAGAAGATGTCCATAAGGGTTACTTCTGGTGACCTGGATTGCCAGGAAACGGAATCGCCTTTTCAGATCTACCAGTTTGAAATGGTTTTAATGAGAAACTCACGAACGTCCAAACCCAATGAGGTGATGCACTATCCCGCGAGAAAGTAACTGTTGGTTGCAAATGGTGCAAATGCAGTACAACAGATTCTTGTAAAAGATCAAGGTGACTCTAATGGATACAATAAACGGCTGAATTTGTAAAGACAATTTATGAACAACCTGTATAATTGGACCAGCCAACTCCAGGCAAGATATGGCGCCAAGACTCCATTTATAGTTTTACCTGATACTTGTGAACATCAAAAGAAATAAAAATATTCTGTCTTAATTCGTGTCTAAACCGATTACGGCCCTCACCGGTGTTCGAGCTCTGATTAAAAATCAACATGATTTAAAATGCTGATATTCTCGGGAGACAAACAGTTCTCCCTGCACTGAAGACTGACACAAAGGGATAGTCACACCCCTCTTTCTTACACTAGGCTTAGATTCGTGAGGCACGAGGTTATGACTAATAAATATGTAAGGAATAAAAATTATGTGCAGAATAATGGTACTTATATTTTGTTGGTGAAAAAGTGGCACAGTTTAAACTGGTGGGTGTTCGGCTCAAGGTAATAAAGCTGTAAACCTAACCCCCAACTAAGATGGTAGGTTTGTAGTCACAACTAAGATGGACCCCGCATGTGTCCATGCCGAGTTGGTGAGTGCCTGTAACTACTGAGTTCCCCCAGTATTTACTTTTTTTTGACTGACTTCAGACATCAGGAGCTGACCTTGATCGTTATTCTTTAAGCGCAATGAGGAATGTGTAGCATGACACGGAGGGTTATACAGACTTTGATTTTGGGGGATTTTTGTCTCGGAGCCGAAAATAATGGAACCAGAATTCTATGAACCGGTTTTAAACGCTGATCTGTTTCACTTGTTTTTCCAAATTTAAATATAGGCAAATACTATAAGTAATAAATTAATCCAAGTAAGTAATCACGTCATAAATTCTACAGTTCCTACTTAGATATTTACATTTCAATCATAAATGACTGATGCCCGTATTGTCGGAAGAAATTTGAAATCATCAGTTGATAATATTCACTGATCTCTAATGAAACATCAGTTAATGATCCTTGCCATTTAAGTTTTTTAAAATCATTTCACCCCCCCCCCAGTTAAAAAAATAGAGGCAAGAGGTTAGTGAGGGCTAGAGAAAAAAAAAACTATTACAAAGAGAGAAGAATAAAATATTAAGAATTAACAAGACAGAAAATAACGATCGACACTGCATTTGAATTTTTGAAAATCAAAGTTGACTGGGAAGCAAGAAGCCAGAAGAGAGGTCCACAAGCAAGAAGTGCGATAGAAGAAACTATTAACATTGAATTTTCGGCTACATCTAGTCATTCATAATGTCTAGGCTCGATAGAGGAAGATTTTTTCAGAACAATTACCATGAAAGTATTTATAGATAAGTCACAGGGTAGCTACGTTACGGTTGTAGGAAAGTATGCCAGGTAAAGACTAATAACATTGCAGATTTTTTAATTTTATCAAGAATCTCTAAATATATAGCAGGAACCTCAGATCAGATATGACCGCAATATACAAGCAAGTACGAATGGTAGACTTATAAATATGTAAGATAGATTCTGACAAGAAAAAAATTGTCTAGCACGACACAATAAACATTTTTCTAGCAGCAGACCTAACAACTGATTCAATTACAAGACTGGTGCTACACATTCCTTCATCTTTCGTCTGAACATGTACTTAAGAATTCTTGAATATCTCTTTTTAGACTAATGTTTACCTAGTACAAGGCCCAAGAGCCACTCAAGGTAGATGGTTAATAAAAAAAAAGGTGCGAAATGAAAATATTAGTGAGTAAGTAGGATTTGGTTTGGTTTGTTTTGTTTCACGGTATATCAACATCAATGGGTCATTTAATGCCGACAACAGTTTTTTTTCCTGGTAATATTTTTGTTTTGTCAAAAATCTATTTCTGTTAATATTTTTTCCTCAAAAATGTATAGCATGTAATATTATTTTTTCAAAAACGTATAGCTGTTAATATTATTTTTTTCAAAAGCGTATAGCTGTTAATATTATTTTTTTCAAAAATGTATAGCTGGTAATATTATTTTTTTCAAAAATGTATAGCTGGTAATATTATTTTTTTCAAAAATGTATAACTGGTAATATTATTTTTTTCAAAAACGTATAGCTGGTAATATTATTTTTTTCAAAAACGTATTATCAGAGGTCTTGCTATTGGGCATAGTTTATCGTCTTATTCAGGACGCGGATGTAGTTTATCGTCTTACCCCGGATGCGGATGGAGTCTCGGTGTTAACTATTTGCCCATAGCTGGGACCCTAACAGATGCTACCACCCTAGGTCAGGGTGGACCTGGAAACACCAGCAATTAAGATGTGGTTCCACGCTCCTCAAAACCTCCTGATCAGAGGCCTTGCTGTTGGATGTAGTTTATCGTCTTACCCAGGACGCGGATGTAGTTTATCGTCATGTGACTAAGTAGGAAATTAACTTTATGAGGATTTGGATGATACATAATGCTCGAGCCTAGACTTGAAGAGGTTAAGAATGTAGTGTTCGAAGAAGCATCCCCGAGGGAGCCACTTCCGCAAGTAGCAGTTCTTGGGTAGAAGCTATCTGATTAGAACTTCCTTCCTACAAGGATGATTTGACCCCGGGGACATAGGAAGGACGTAATATATGTATATATCAGAACTGGAGATAGTGATATGATAGCACAAGGATTGCGACGTTGGAACTGTGTAAAACGGTTTCTAGGGTGGAAAATACATCAACCCCTAGAAGGCGGGGTAAGCGATTTTGAAATCTAGATTAAATATTGCAGCAATGCTCCATTTGTCGTCTGATATGACATTTGTAGAGATTAAAACAAAAAAAAATTCTGTGCCATGTTTTATGCTTAAGACCATTTCTGAGTTCGAGCTCTGGTTGGAATCAACATGATTTCAAATTCTGATTTTCTAGATCGGCCGTTAGGCTCTCGTGGCTGTTATGTTTGGCATAACAGGGTCATTGTTCAACTCCACTAGTTTCTATTCTAAATCTTGATTCGCGAGAGACGAAGCCATGCCTAATAAATATGCAAGCAATAAAAATTATGTATTCATATGTCTGGTATAATTTTGTCCGACATTTTTATCAACATTGTCAATTGATTGAAGTTTGCACTTACGTTGTTCAAATTTCAGCTAATTTTATGGTTGACTGCTCAGACAAGGTGACAACTCTTGATTACAGACAAAACAAAACAACTAGCATACTACCCGTCAAAAACGAGATTTTTTTTTATCGATGGATCAACGAGTATTTCTTGGGTCAAAGTTTTTATGTCGTTCTGTCTATAACCGGTTTCACAGACAAACCTGCGCTTGCGCTGAGGATGGATTGCTAATGAGTATAGATCCAATAACTAAGGATCAGATTCCTTTCATCGAAGCCTTTCTGGGATGAATCATGAACTTATAATCACGTCCTTATGTATAATATCAAGAAACGAGTTCATAAAATTCGTTTTGTACATATATATATATATATAAAACATTTTTCTGTAGTTCACTGCTACCAGCAAACAGAAATATTTCTTCGCCTGATGATGGCCATTTTGGCCGAAATTAGTCGAGGAATCTAAATGAAATAATAAAAATAAAAACGAAAGAATATTAATCTACAACCCAGTGTGTCTGAAGATTTTAATTTTTTAATATTTTTTATTGTTTAATATATATATATATATATATATATAGAGAGAGAGAGAGAGAGCGAGAGAGAGATCATTGTCGATATAACGAAAAACTATATATTCTTTTAATGATTTCATTCCAAGCAAGGCGATAAAGCCACGAAGACGCAAAGGAATACTGAATGAATGGTAATTGAGTCAAAGAAACTGAGAAAAAGTTGCTGAGGAGAGAGGACGATAAAAAGTACAGTATTCTACAGACGAGAAATCTGCC